AGAACAGACCAAATTTCGAAACAGTTTCGAAATCATCGTGACATTATTTTCTTTACGTATCGAATTTTTTCCACAGCTTGGCACAGATGTTTGTACAGGGTGCAGCAGAAAGGGCTGCTCTACGAGCGAGAAATGAATGTAACTATGAAATCTCACACAGTGCACGAATGCTCGGCAATGATACAGAGGCTAGTGACGAGCGTTACCTTCCAGGGTTTCTTGGCACGTATGGTGTTTACTGCAAAGATGTAAGTTAATATATAAAGTAAAGTCAATCGTAATGTTTGTGTTACTGAGGGATAATGTTTTATTCATTATTCAGTCTTATTTTTCATAGTTCATTACGTTCCTACTTTGCAGATGTCGTCCACTCAAAAATTTGAATTACTTAAATCTGGTATGTTTAAAATTATAAGAAATGTTTTAAAATTGTTCTCTTCTGTTTTAATTTGACTGACGGCTCCGTGGCGCAGTGGCTTCGCAGAGTTGCAGCACTAAGAGCCGCGGGTTCGAATCCCGCACGGAACAAGTATTTGTATGGCATACAAATGTGTTCCGGGTTTGGATGTTTGTCCTTGTGAAATTTATATATGTAAACTGGCCCCACGATATATTCACGATATAGGAGAAAATCCTAGTGTGAAAGTATCGTTTTCAAAACAAAATTGTTTAAGGATGTTTTAGAATATTAAAATATATTATGTGGATTCAGTTTATCGCCAGAGCGACAATAAGTAAGTGTGGCAAAAACTAATCTTGACATTTATAATCATAATTCACATTTTATGTTACGATGTGGAAATAGCTGAACTTTTAACGATAAAGATATCTTAAAATGACAAAAAATTAGAATGGCGATCAATGTATTTGTAAGATTGTAAGTTAAGAGTTTTGCATCAAACGTCTCACGTAAGTTTATAACGTTGTATAAAATTTTATTTTCGTGTAGTAGCGGATTTATATAAGCCATTACTATTTTTATACGTGATAGAGCCACGGTGCAGCTATATTATGGTTGTAACACGAATGGGTCGGCTTGACCGGGGAAGGCGGACCACGCTCTCACTGAATACCAGCGGAAAATAGCAGCTAAATGCTGCTGTGTTAAGTATGGCGAGTGCAGAGAGCCGGAGACAGACCCTTCTCACTGGAAATGAGGCATTCTATCTTATTCCTTAGGGGTGACAACGCATCTGCATTTTCATTCTTAATCGAAGATAGATGTAGATGTCCATGGGTCACAGCAACCACTCACCGTGTTTTCGTTTGTCACCCTCATTATATAAAGAAATCTTATATTATCGACCTATGGGTGTCGTAAAAGAAGATATTAAAAAATAAAACGGAAGATCTTTTTAATAATAACTGAGCAATAAAAGAAAAATACATTGTGCAAAAACTCATTGTTCATTTTAGGCTCTAGGTGTTTTATTATTGCTTTTGTGTTATTGACACTACATCGAAGTTTCTTTTTGGCCGTTTTCTAACCTAAGTTTCGAAATCAGAAACGGAAATAGCAAAATAATTTCTCTTTCGAATCTCGCTTTCCACATATATTACGTTCGATCCTATTCGGCTTAACTTACATCTTTTTTGCTTAAGCGATATTTTCGATACGTCTCATTTAATGTTGTTTTGACTGTTACTCAGGAAGCCATACAGCTTTGTTGGACTTTCATATATAAGTCGCAGATTAGTGAGTTAGAACAAATTAATGTCTCCGTACTTATCTTTTATGTTGTATCTTTTTCGCCAGCCCTAAAGGCCACAACTGGACATTGGGCTGTGCAGTTTTAGGGAGGACTTGCCTTAATCGTCATGCTTGGCGCACGGATCGACGAACGCAGTACTAGTCGTCTCGCAACTTTGACGCTGGTGTCCGTCACAGGTTTGGGAGGGTATTTTACGTTTTAGACGCCGTAAGTCGGCAGTCAAAATAACTTTCTGGTGTTTGCTATTGTTGCCTCTTTGCCGAAATGCATAGAACGAAATGTGATGATGGCTTTTTAAGCCTTCCTTGGAAACCTTAACCAAAGTAAGGAATATAAAGGGCGAACTTGATAAAAATAAATTAATCAAAGTTAATGAACATATAATACATAAAAATAAAATATAATACGTAGCTCTATAGTATTATTATGTTAATAAGGGTAAAGGGAAAGATAAATTGATAGTATAAACTTTAGCCACCTTCCTTGAACTACCAACCAAGGTAACTTGGCGATGACTAATCTTTATTTTTATATTATCTTTTAAATTTTGTATCACAACATGAATATCCTTAATATCAGATGTTTATATTACTGTACTGCAAATCGTCCTCATACAGATAGTACAATCAATTAGTATTAGATGTAATGAAGTTGATGAAAATTGAATAAAATTATAGGGGATAGTACGCCGCCCCGCGGTACGTCAAATTCAATATCAACCCATGCTCAGGTTTTTACCCCATGTTAACTGGTTGCTATCGACCGCTAAGGTAGATTTGAGCTAAGCCTGCAAAATTAAGATGAGAGAGGATTTTTAGATAATATGATATAATCAATTGGAAGCGACAGTAGCCTAATATTTAAGGGTGCGGACTGCAAATTTGGTAAGTCGTGGGTTCGAATAAGCCATCCGGATACTGTTTTGAACCACTGCTAACACAAGCATTTTAAACACTTCAACTAAGCTTTTACTTGAAGTGTTTAACGGGTATGCTAGTAATGTTAATGGCGTTTATAGGATTAATTTATTTTTAAAAAAATCCACAAATATCCGTCCTTTGGACACTAACAGTTACAGGTATCCTTATTTCTGCTGTTAACTGTAACCGACTACATGCGTTTACCAAAGGGCGCATACGAACGCGTTAAGACGTTACGGCAGCAGATACCGAGGATATCGCAGGAGGCAGAACGGGTGGCCGGCTTTCCTCGAGAAGAGTCACCTCCAGTTGAAAATTGTTTGAAGCCCCTGACAGGAGAACACGATCCCCGTCCTTAGCACAAAGAAGAAGATGTTGCCTTTAGTTGTCCGTGTACTGAGCCTAGTATGCCTTATTGCGATCCCAATAAAAAAAAGAGACGCTTTGCCTTCTTAATGCATGAATAAATATATTTTTCTGGACGCTTGGTGGTTTTTTATTTATTTTAACTTGATGACATACCGAGGATGCGAATTTTGATTAACACAGATAAAATGCAGTAGTAATTTATCTTGTACCTTTATTAACCGACTCCATCAGGCCACTATAAGTTCCACGTTCATTACATCCTAAACATAGGTTTTCCCCACAGATTACTCCATAAGGGGATTTGCCACAGTTGCCACGTTTAGCAGGTTCATTGGCTACCCCAGTTTTTTATTATTTTGAGTTGTTAGATGCAGAAAGATGCTGCTATCCATCACCTGTTCCAATTTCCCTCTGTCGACTCTTACGACACCCACGGGATAATATGGGGTAGTGGATATTCTTACACTGCCACTACACTACACTACACAAGGTAATATAGTTAAATAACACAATGTCTCCGTTATCCGAGGTTTTTTGATCAATTTATTTTTCATTTTTTAAAAGATAGTGTCATGTTTTTACCAAATCCGATGACAATTTAAGTTGCCACAGTGTACAATTAATGCGAGTTGCCAGTGATTGCATAGTCATTCACTTATAGCCGATTCCTTCAAAGGTTAATCAATAATAAAAAAACATACTCGTTTCAATAGAGGTGACTGAAGCTGCCATCTTCTCGGTATCCTAAAACCATCGACAGATGATGGCAGTTCAGCTACGATAATAAAATAAAGGCCAAGCATATATAAGACGTAAAGATACTGTAAGTTCATTCTCCGTACATCAGGCCAATAACCGATGATTAAAAACTAAAGGGAGCGCGGACTAATTATTACATTAGAACGTAAAATACCTTAGACCCTTACGTCTTTATTGATAAGCACATAATAATTTTACGACCAGAAACCTTTGGAATAGTGTATATTATGTTTAAATATAGACCTTATTGCTTGGTATCAAAACATACGTTACATTTAAACGTGGTAGAGCCATGCGTCAGCTATATTAATTGTATAGTTGTAGCACGAATGGGTCGGCTCGACCGGGGAAGGACCACGCTCTCACAGAATACCTGCGTAAAATAGCAGCTTGATGCAGCTGTGATTCGCATGATGAGTGTAGAGAACCGAAGACCCATTTTACTGGAAAAGAGGCATTCTATCTTAGTTCTCACGGCTGACAACGCATCTGCATTTTAATTCGCAAACGAGGATAGTTGTAGATGTCTATGGGCCACAGCAACCACTTACCATCAGGTGGATTGTGTTCTCGTTTGTCACCCGATCCTATAAAAAAAAAACATCGCTCAAACGCTATTCCTAGTCTTAAAGTATGTAGAGTTATGTTTATTAATAAGATTTTATGAATCCGTTATCAGCTGTGCTTAGGTTTACGTTATCACCTGAGTGACTTGATATTTAACAAACGAAACTCGACTTCCAAGAACACCATTGGTGAGTGAACTTGAGATGCTAAAATCTGATTGCAGGCCGTTGGTGCCTTGAGATCGTGATTGTAGTAGCGCGAATTGGAGTTAGAATATATTTGAGTCAAATTAATTATTACGATGAAATAGAGTATTATCATTATATTTTAACAATAAAATAAATAATAACAGAATTAAATATAATATACATTATATTCTTTGTATATTATTAAGGTTCTTAAATGGCAACCTCGTACCGTAAAGCGAAATGGAGAGCGGCTCACTCACTAGACGTAGTGACGACAAGCTAAGACATGCAGGAAGTCGATGGATGCGGGTAGCTTAGGACTTGAGGGCCGTGTTTTGTGTGATTCTTTGGGAGAGGCTTTCGTTGAGCAGTGGACTTGTGAAGGCCTGTAAGGATGATGACGATGATATTTTACTACTTATTATAAAGTAAATTTTCTTATAATTACACAAGCTTCATAAAGCTTACAATGGAATACCACAGCTTTAAGATAAAGCTTTTTGGTCAAAGAGACCGAAGCCCATATCATCATCAGACTCCTCAGGTTCTTCCTCCTTTATCTCTTCCTTGGCGGGTTCTGCTGCCGGGGCCGCAGCTGAAGCAGCAGCGCCGATGTTCGTGATGAGGTCACGCACGTTCACATCTTCCAAAGCCTTTGCGAATAAACCTGGCCAATATGGCTCTACATTAACGGCAGCGGCTTTAAGAATGGTGGAGATTTTTTCACCAGTAACAACGACATCATCATCAACCAAGATGAGAGCGGAGTAAACACAAGCTTCAGCCTTTGTTGCCATTTTTAATTTTTTATATTATGTTTGGTTAAACATAGGTACTGTAATTACCCATATTTATTTCACACTGGAGCCCATGCTAATTTATTAATGTTACCTCTGTTGTGCCACCTAATACTTCTGCCACTGTATTATATCACTATAACAATAACAAAGAGCATGTATGCAACACTGAGAGACAAATGAGTAAGTGAGCACTTGAGTGCTACAGCGTTTTTACGGATGTCGGATTGTTCAAAACATTTGAAGTACTCGTATGTTGGCACTACGCCCGCAAGCACAGTGCTGCTGACAATGAGTTTGTCTTTCGTTTGGTGTTATATTCTTTTTGCTAAAAAAAGCGTAGCTCTACCAAGTATCAGATTTTTTAAATTAGGAAGTAAAAAATAATGTTGTGTTTTGTTAAGAAATTTAAATTCTCTTTACGATACTTCTTCATTTGTTTATGATGGATTTCACGAATAATTAAAAACGTGAGCGTTTAGGGAAATGATATATTAAGCAATCATTGGTTTAAGGATCTTGATACTGGCGTTAAATTTACTACCACCTACGCGAGTTCATTTCTGCCGCCAGCACTTAATGTTTATTAAGTTATTGTTAATAATGTTAATGTTAATCACTATTTTACCACTTGCTCAGCAGTGAAAGCAAATGAGAGAAAATCCTCTGAGGATTAAAAAAATCAAGAATATGTGAAGTCCGGTATCATGCCTTGGATAGACCAATGGACACCTACTAAACCTTTGCAGAAATAAGAGTAGGCCTGTGTCCCGCATTGGAAAGAGGACTATTACTTTACCACATTATGTTATTCAATTATTCTCTCTTTTATATTCTTTATCCCTCTTCAACACATCAATAATTATTTATTTCATTAATTATAAGTCTAACACATACATACATTACACATGAGGCAAATTTTTGAATAGACGAATAAGCTTAAGCTAGATTGAGAAATCAATTTAACAGAAATTTTATGTACATAATTATTTTTTATGTCAAAGGTGAGAAGATAAAAATATTAAAACAAATCCTTACAAATTTTTTTTCTCTTAGATTAACTATTAAATTTGAAAGCTGAAATATTCTATAGTGGAAATATGTAAAGGTTACTGTGAATAATAAAATAAAGATTAGAAAGGCAATATATCAAAATATAATCAGATGTGAAGAAAAGGCAGAAAATAAGATTGTTAAGTCTGAATAAGTAATAACGTAATTTGCTCTACGAAGTTGAAGTTGGTAGCTTCTTATTCAGACTCAATTACAGCTCTTGACAAAGCGTCGAGTATTAGGTGAACGAAATCTTACAAGTTCTTGCATTTTAGTTACGTAAGTTGAAAGAAGCTTGTGAGAAATTATATTACCACTTATATAAATAATACGGTTAAAGTTTGTCATTATAGGTATATTTTAGCCATATTTAAATAAAGGGAAAAGGTTGACAATGCGGCTGTCGTTTTGTATGTATTGTTACGAGCTTGAGGTTCGAGACAATCAAAAACTACCGAGGTAATTACCAAAATTGACACTTTAATTATAAAACACTAATTACAACTTAGAACCACACTAATAACAAAACACAAGTGTACTACTGATCGCTTTAGTTCGCAGTTGTATCGCTTCGAAGTATTCGCTTGTATCGACAATATAACACTGACTGGGTGGCGGTCTATACCGGCCTTATACAGGGCCTCAGATAATTTCCAGAGCCTCCTACTGCAGAAACATCTAAAATGTTCGAGTACATACCGGTCCCGAATGGCTAGGTGTTGATAGTTCTAGAAAGTTCTTCCATGGAAAATTCTAGAAGGATGTTTATTCTTCTAGTTCTGCTACTCGATTCTAGTGGGCGCTAGTGGTAACTAGTGTTGCCATGTACCTGGCATTAATGATGGCGCTCAACAGTATGTTACGCAATGACGATGATGAAGTTTCGTCCATTGTGAACTGATTTTAATAATTCCTTAAAGATTTTTTAATAGATTTCACTTTACTAGTCCCATATAAATTTAGAGAAAAATTTCCACCCCCAAGGGTGACAAAATACGGGATGAAATTCAAACGAAATTGAGGTATTCCTTTGTCCACGAAAAGCTCGAAATAAAAGAAGTCTACTTTTACTTTTGATTAAAAGTATATTATTTTTTGTTTCAAGCATTAGCACTCTTTACGAAGACATGAAGAATTTTATAGTTATTTTAATGTGCTGACGAAAAAAAACAACTTCAGTGATAATTTTTTTGTCCAAATCCGAAATTTCTCCGCAAAAGTACACCGCTGGACTTGGATTTTTACTGTTGTAGCGTGGATATTCATCATCCCTGGCAGGCGGATGATAATCGCAGTACCAGACGTGTTGCATCTTTGACGCTGCTCCCCATCGCTGGACTGAGTATTTCATGGCTGACGTACAGAGTTGGTTATACCGTCATCGATTGGAAGTCATAAGATCTTTCTGGCATTTCCCTATGACACCCATGGTATAAAATTGTTTGATGGATTCACTTACGACGCAAATTTACAGACTTTTAACCAATAGTGACCTTAACATTGTGCTATTTTACTGACTTAGGTGCATATTTTTTAAACTCGATTAACTCATGGCTAATTATAATCTTTACGGTATTACGCTCTCCAACCCGTCTGCCGTTCAGCAGCAGCAGGCGATAAAAGACAAATAACGACGACATGATTGCTATGCCACTGCCATGTAATCACTGCCTAACTTGTATAGAGATACAAGTGATTACGTCAAATACTCTCAATCTTGATGAACTGATAAAGTGATTATTATTTTTACGTGGTAGAGCCATGCTGCAGCTATATTACTTGTATTATTGTAGCACGAATGATTCGGCTCGATCGGGGAAGGACCACGCTCTCACACAATACCAGCTTAAAATATCAGCTTAACGCTGCTGTTTGTATGGTGAGTGTAGAGTACCGGAGATCCTTTTTACTAGAAACGAGGCATTCAATGTTAGTCCTTACGAGTGACAACGCATTTGCATTTTGATTCGTAATCGAGGATAGATATTGAAGTCTATGTGACACAGCAACCACTTACCATTAGGTGGACATTGTGCTTGTTTGTCACCCTTATCCTATATAAAAAAATTGAATTCATTTTTTTATATTGGGTCATAATTTCAAACGAATAAAAAATAATACGTTTTTAATGGAAGACGTTTGAGTGTTAAATGTTATTGACTCTTACAATTGACAGTATTTTGAAACATTGAAGTTCATTATAATATATTTATAATTTAAATTATATTTTAAAATAACTATGGGAAATTTTGCTTATCACTAAATTAATTATTTTGTTTATACTATATATTATGTAGTAAAATAATCCGAACCCAAAGTGTTGAAAAGTAATTATGGCTTTAGTAGAAACGAATTAAAATGAACGATTTTTCGTTATATTCTTCATAACAACGTTACATTGTTCCATTATTACTCCTTCATTCGGCGAATTCTTTATTTTGGAGAAAACGAGCTTGTTACATTGATTGATGATAGTTTATTGAGACCAAATTGTGGGTCTTGTTCTGAGCTATTTGTTTAGGATAAAGAAACATGTCACGTACGTACAGGTGTTCTTTCTTGTTTTAATTAATCGCGTGTACGCCTGATTTCGTTATTTTTAATTTAAAGCAGTTATCAAATAAAATTTAATGATTTGGTTTCTAATTTAATATTGTATGCCTTAAGCGAAAGCGCAAGGTATGTTCTACTATCGCCTAATTTTAATATATAATGTAATTTTACTGTTAAGATGTTTGATCGACCTATTTCAAAGCCGTCGACTATGTTTGACTTTGGTTTACTATCAAAACTGTCAGCACGTCCTCTTGTTTAAAATTTCACCTCCATCATTATGAATAAGGTTACTCGACTGTCTTCTCTGTTTCCTTACTGTAATGAGCTGCATTTTGTTGCAGGTTTTTAGTTTCACCTTCTTTCATGTTTTATCTAATAGTTTTTACCTACTGTTATACCCGCGGCTGTTGATTGTAAGCTAGATTTTACGAGGTACCCTGGTTGTTATTAGAAGGTTGCTGTAATCATAGCACCGTAAAACTCTGGTCTCGTGTATTGCCTATTGAGGCAATAATCAAGGGGTGTCGCTTAGCTGTTGCCGCACGCGGCAAATCCAAATGCCAGAGAGTATGCTAAGTGTCTTTATCTAAGAAAGGGTGAGTGTTGACCCTGTGTGACATGTGCTTTTCTAACTTATATAGTATTATAACGTTTCATGAAAGCTAACGTGATGAATTGGTTATTCAGGCTAAATTTAGACTAATTTTCTAGAATAAAATGTTATATTATTGATAATGATTTCTTATATTTACGCGAACACTACACATTGAATAAAACTATTTTTACGGATTTTATCGCGTTTAATTTACTTATTTTATATTCCCGACGTTTCGGTTGCTTTCCAGCAACCATGGTCACGGGGGACTGAGGTGATTGACGTCCCGATGTCAAAGTTAACCCGGAGTACCTTCAGCTTTCAACGTCGGGAATATAAAATAAGTAAATTAAACGCGATAAAATCCGTAAAAATAGTTTTATTCAATATATTATTGATGTTATTTTAGTTGGACCTTCTGCTGACCTCTCATCCGGACGGATATCAGGTCTCCGTCGATGCCCCTCTGGGCTCTTCGGACCATTGTCTGATCCGGAGCACAGTGCCACTCACGCTCCAATCGCAGTTGCGATCTACAGCTTGCCGCCGTGTTTGGCACTATAGGTCAGCTGATTGGGACGGGATGCGGTCTTTTTTTGCATCCTACCCTTGGGGGCGGGTTTGCTTCTCGTCGGAAGATCCCAGCGTTGTTGCCGATTCTGTTGCTGATGTGGTACTTCAGGGTATGGAACTTTTTATTCCATCCTCTGTGGTGCCCATCGGAGGCAGATCCCAGCCATGGTTTGGTCGCTCCTGTAAAATAGCATCACGCTATAAGCAGGAGTGCTACCGGGCC